TTTTTTTTCCAAATTTAAAATTTTTTAATCTACTACTTCTTTAAATAAGCTTTATCCCTTTATCTTTTTCTTCTCTTTCACTAACTTTTAAAACTTACATGTTTGCTATTTTCATACTGTCCCATAAATCCCATAAGCTTTCTTCATTCTTTATGATTCTTCTTTTTTCTCCTCTGATTATATATCTTCAAATAACTTGCTTTTGAGTTCACAGAACATTTTTCCTGCTCGATTGAGCCTGCTGCTGATGCTCCCTATTGCAATATTTATTTTATTCATTGTATTTTTCAGTTCCCAAGTTTCTTTTTTAAAATAATTTTAATCTCTCTGTTAAATTTCTCATTTGATCATTTATTGTTTTCCTAATTTCATTGAATTGTTTCTCTGTATTTTCTTACAGTTCACTGAGCTTCCTTAAAACAACTATTTTGAATTCTACCTCACTCATTTCATGTATCTCCACTTCTTTGTGGTTAACTACTGGGAGATTATTGTGTTCTTTTGGCAACACTATTGATTTTTGATTTTTCATACTTCTTGCTACTTTACATTGATGACTATGCATTTGATAGAGCAGTAACATTTGTAGCCTTTACAGGCTATCTCTCCTGTGGAGAGACCTTCCCATTTGAGGAGTATGAGGGCACTCGCTGGGTGGAGTGCAGCAGTCCTGGTACCAATGTGGGTGTCAGCTATGTAATCTATGCAGCTCTGTCAGCTGAAGTTAGTGTTGGTAAATATTGCAGGGATCCTCAGCAGCCAATATGTAGATATTTGCAGTGACAGCAAGGGTTGCTGGGGTCTTTGGTGGTGATGGCTGCTAAGGTCCTCACAACCTCTTTTTCTCCCACCAGGGAAGTTGTGGCCAGGGGATCACTCTTGGCACTATGTCTGGCTTATAAGCTCGCTAGAAGTAATGGTGGAACAGCTGTCTGATAAATGGCACTCCTGCAAGAGCAACAGAGCTGAGATCTGAAGCTCAGAAATGAATGGAGGAATTAAGACTCTGGGATTGAACAATAGGATTAATAAGCAGGGTACAGGCATCTCCACTGCCACATTGGTAACTGACTGCAAGGTGCAGATGCTTGTGACGTGGCCTGGAAACCTAAAAATGGAAGCACATATATAAAAAAGTTACAGTGGCTCCAGGGTTAGGGCAAAATCTAGCTCTCCTTGGCAGCTGAGTCAGTACCTGAGGCTAAGGCACTTCTATTCCTGCCTTGGTAACAGTAGCTGAAGCACAAATCCTTATAAAGTAGCCAGGTAGCCAAAATGAGAGCACAGGTGTGTGCACAATTAGTGCAACTCCAGGACCAAGGCAGTGTCTAGCTCTCTGTAGTAAGTAGACTGGTACCTAGGACATGGTTAGGTGCATCAGAGCTTGGCTCTTGGTACATCAGAGCTTGGCTCTTGAGTGAAATAGCTCACTATAACATCAGGGTGTATTATAGGTCATTATGACATCAGGGTGTACCTCTTTAGGTGCATCAGGGCTTGATTAGGTGCATCAGGGCTTCATTCTTGAGTGAAATAGCTCACTCTGACAATGGCTCCTGTATCTAAACTGTAAGTGGACTCAGTGTAGCTGCATAACCTTGGTCTGGAGTGTGAGCACTTGCAGAACATCCATGGTCTGGCATCAAAGCATGCATGGGGTGAGAGAGACAGTGGCTCCTTTCCCAAAGCTGCTCAACAGTGGTCAGTTCTTGGGCAGGAGAGGGATATTCAATCATCATCTCCCTTTCTGGGGTTCCCAGTAGGAATAGCTCTTTTTTACTTGAGTAGCAAGAGATCCTTGTGTTCTTAGTGGAATAGGCTGATAGGGACTATGGTGGTTCCCACCCTGTAGCTAATAGTGATCATCTTTATTCTTTACTCCTAGCTGTTTCCTGGCATCTCAGGTATGCCAGTCTCATCAACCATATTTTATATGTGGATATTCTCCTTTGCTGTTCTTGCTGTTTGTTTGTTTGTTTGTTTGTTCCACTCTATTGCCTCTGAACTTTTAATGTGACCTTGAGCCTCTTTTGGCTATTTCTGTTTGTGAAAGTTGTCTATATTTGGTTTTCTGTGGGGTTTCATAACCCCGCTAGTAACCCCTACTCTGTCATCTGTGTGACATTACTCAAGAAATTATATTTTTTAAATTGAAATTTTAGAACTGGAAAGTACAAAATCTGATTTAAAAAATGTTACTAGAGGCCAGGCACAGTGGCTCTTGCCTGTAATCTCTGCACTTTGCGAGGCAGACAGATCATGTGGTCAAGAGTTTGAGAGCAGCCTAACGAATATGGTGAAACCCCGTCTCTACCAAAAATAGAACAAAAATTAGCTGGGTGTGGTGGCACATTTCTGTAGTCCCAGCTACTTGGGAGGCTGAGGTAGGAGAATCACTTGAACCCAGGAAATGGAGATTGCAGTGAGCTGAGATCACACCACTGTGCTCTAGCCTGGGTGACAGGGTGAGACTCCATCTCAAAACAAACAAACAAAAACGTTACTAACTGGGCTTATAAGCAGAGTAGAGATGTCAGTGGAAAGAGTGAACCTGCAGATAGGACAATGTAAACTATCCAAATGAAGAAGAAAGCAGAAAAAAAGATTGAAAACAGACTGAACAGCACCTCAGGGACCTTTGGAATAGTATCAAAATGTCTAACTGGATTGATATGGTTTGGCTGTTATGTCTCCTACAATTTTCATGTTGAAATATGACCTCTAGTGTTGGAGATGGGCCTAGTGGGAGGTGTCTGAGTCATGGAGGCAGATCCATCAGGAATGGCTTGGTGCTTTCCTCAGGGTAATGAGTTCTCACTCTATGAGTTCATGTGAGATCTGGTTCTTTAAGAGCTGCGCACCTTCCCCCTCTTTGTCTTGTTGCCTCTCTCACCATATGATATGCCAGCTCCCCTTCGCCTTCTGCCATTATTGTAAGCTTCCTGAGGCCCTAACCAGAAGCAGGTGCCAGCACTATGCTTTGAGTACAGCCTACAGAACCATGACCCAAATAAACCTTTTTTATCCAATCTCAGATATTTCTATATAGCAATGCTAAACTAACACAAGGGTTAAGTGGAGTCCCAGAAAGAGAAAACAGAATGGTAGAGATAATATATTTGAGAAAACACAGCCAAAAACTTCCTAAATTTTGTGAAAGATGTAAATACTCAAATTCAATTATTTCAACACACCAAACAGAATAAATATGAAATTAATAATGCATCCATAGTCAAATTGGTGGGAACCAAATACAAAGATATAATCTTGAAAACAGAGGAAACAACACCACGGATACAGAATTCAAATAACTGCTGTGCTCTCATCAGAAACAAAAACTGCATAAAAAAGTAGAACATCTTTAAAGTGCTTGAATTTAAAAAACTGTCAAACTGAACTTTTATATCCAGAAAGAATATCCTTCAGAAGTACAGGAACAATAAAAACACTTTTGCATAAGAGAAGACTCAGAGTATTTATTATTAGAAAGACCTATATTACAAGAAATGGTAAAGAAAGTTCCTCAGGCTGCAGGAAAATAATACTAGATAGAAACTTGAATCTTTAGGAGGAACTGAGGAAAATGATAAATATCTGGGTAAATACAAAAGATTACTTTTTCCTTTTAATTTATCACATATTGTTTAAATCTGTGTTTAAACTTTACAGTTTATAATATATGCAGATACATAACATATAAAAATTACAGAATAAAAAAAGGTGGGGATTGGTAAAGGGGCCTACACAGTTAAAACATTTCTATTATGTTGGTGCAAAACTACTGGAAAAATCGCAATCACTTTTGCAGCAACCTAATACATTTTACTTTGAGTAAAAAAAATTAACAGTAATTAAAGTGTGGGAAATTATGGCTGTATACTGTAACATGTAGAGTAACCACTAAAATACATATAACACAAAAGAGCATAGCTAAAAACCCAATGTATAAAACATAATTCTAAAAATTCTAAAAAAATTTGTGTACTCTAGAATAAGGCATCAAGGGAGAAACAAAGGAAAAACAGAGAAAGAAAAACAAAAATAAAATTTTTACATGATAGACCTAAATCCAAAGATAACAATTACATTAACTATAAGTGTATTAATAATTCCAATTTAAAAGTAGAGATCATCAGCTATTGAAAAGCAAGGGTCTATATTATCTACATAAGATGTATTTTAAATATAAAGACAATGATATGGCTATCATAGCAGCTTTATTTATAATAGAGCAAAACTAGAAAGCCTACATTATGTCAACAGAGAATGGGATAAACAAACCAACATTCATTCATACAATCAAATAATACCTGACAATAAAAAAATAACAATCAATACATCCAATAGCATGAATACATCTCAAAAACATTACGCTGAAGGAAAGAAGCTTCATGCAAAACAGGACATACTGTTTGATTCCATTTATTTTTAGCTCTAGAACAGGAAAAACTAACCAGTGGTGAAAAATATTAAAACAGTTGGGCTGGGTGCAATGGCTCATGTTTGTAATGTCAGCACTTTGGGAGGCCAAGGCTGGTGGATCACTTGCAGTCAGGAGTTTGGGATCAGCCTGGCCAACATGGCAAAACCCCACCTCTACTAAAAATACAAAAAAAAAAAAATTATCGAGGCATGGTGGTGCGCATCTGTAATCCCAGTTACTGGGGAAACTGAAGCAGAAGAGCAGAAGATTAGCTTGAACCCAGGAGGCAGAGGCTGCAGTGAGCCAAGATTGCATCACTGCACTTCAACCTGGGCAACAGAGCCAAACTCCATCTCAAAAAAACAAAAAAAAAAAGTGATTATTTCTGGGCAAGTTGGTGCAAGAATTGACTGAGAAGACTCATGAGAGAATTTTCTGGGGAGATAGTAGCATTCTATAGCAAAATCATGCTGGTGGTTACACAGGTAGATGCAATTGTCAAAACTTGATGAAAGTACATTTTTTGAAAGTATATTTCATTGCATGCAAATTTTACATCAAAATAAAAAATTTAAAAAGTAATGAACACTACTTTGTGATAGGCATGCTAAGTGTTCAGGGGAAAGTGTATTAATATCTGCACTTTCATTGGAAATGAAACAAAAGTAGATATATTGAGGAACCTAGGAATAACTAGATGAATAGATGTGTGACAAAGCAATGCAATAAAATGTTAATAGCAGAATCCAGATACTAGTTTATATAATCATCACAGTAAGATTCTTTCAGCTTTTTCATGTTTACAATTTTTCTTACCAAAATTTGAAAAAATACATATTTTTGTATGTTTTTTTTTTTTTTTATTTTGTATGTCCCTCCCCGGAAACGAGAGAGAGAAGTACGCAAGCAGCTTAATTGTGTCTGCTTTACTCTTTAAAATAAAGATACAAAATGGCCAGAAGGAAATGAGAGCTAAATATTACCATGTTAAGGATTCCAGTGTAGGGGTCCCACTAATACTTCTCTGTATGCTTGAAATATTTCATAATTTAATTTTTATAGGACATAACTGGATGAAATGCAATGCAGAAGAGTATAAAGGGCAATGGACTGAGTCACAGAGCCTGGCACTTTCATCTTCACTTAATTATTGACCGTGGGTCTGATACAAGTGACAAAAAAAAGTCTCTGGTCCTCAGTTTCCTGATTCGTAAAGTAAGAGAGTTGCACTAGGTGATCTTTTAGAGATTTATTTTGATGTTTATAATTCTATAAATCTAAAACAAACAAAATTAAAAATGTAATTTTAGGAAATTCCTCCTGAGAAAATGTTAAGCATGAGCTAAAGCATTTACCTATCCTCCCATAACACTATCACCTCTACCTAACCATCATAATTAGTAGGAAAGTGAAGAATTCACTCTGTGAAATCTTTGCTGAATAGTGTGACTTTTTGAGATCTCCAGCTGAGTACTGTCATTATCAATCCCTACCAGACAGCCACCCAGAACTGATGTTGTTAATGTATTGTATACAGTGGACAAATTAATCTTAAACAACTATTGGGATTACAATATCAATGTAGCATTTAGAGATGTAAACACAGGGCATTTCTGAAGAGCACATTGCATGCTGCCATGTTACCTATTATAGCATCATCTGATGGGAGCCAACATCGTATCCCAATAATACATAAAAAGGGCATATAGATATCATTTTAACAAAGAAAAGACAAAGATGAAAAAGAGAAACTGATATATTATATATCTATATTTAGATATATAATGTATATATAATACATACATTATATATATATAATGTATGTATTATATATACATTAATGTGTGTGTGTATATATATATATAAAATAAATATATAATTTATCCTATTGTGCTTAAAACACTGTTTTTGGTTATCAACTAAGTTGGACATGTAAGAACTGTCTTCCTGGACACAACATAAAACTTTTATCCTCTTAAAAAAATAGTGATGAGGAGCCTTTTATCACAGTAAAGATGTTGCAGACAAGTTGCATAGATAAATTTGAAGAGAGAAAAATCTCTTGTCTGCAACATCTTTACAATTATATTCTTTAGGAGAGAATGTCTGAAATGTAACAACTACTGTTACTTCTCGAAATAGATAAACAGGCAGATTTTCCCCCTTAGAGTGAGGTTATTTCCAATCATTTCTTATTTTGTGAACATCTTATTTTGAGTGAAAAGTTAGTTACTAAATCCCATTTTGTAGGGTAACATTTCTTACCTGTCAAAAAACTCTTACCTGATGTTAAGAGTTTTTTAACATCATCTCCTTTATCAAAAATTAAAATATATGTCCATGAAGAAATGTATCTGCTTTGAAATACAATGCTGTATTGAAGCTTTTGCTTTTTAATTAATTTGAGAGCACTTTCCCATTTTCTCCTCCCCATCTCTACCACTTTCTTTAGTTTCTCTTTCTTCTTCTTTGTTATTTGATTTTTCCTCTTATTATACCTAATATGTGTATTATTTCTCAGTGTCCTAATGTGGTTAACATTTAAATATTTCTCAATCAGGTATAGAAGGAAATAACATCCTATAGAATTCTGTCATGCCAAAAAGCTTTTGCTGGGAAGCTAAGGAAGAAATAAAAGGATATAAAGAAACAAATCTATTTTTGTCATTATGTACCTGAAAGTAACCTGCCAACTAGAAGAAAAGTTGCTTAGTGTTATAGTATAACTAATTATGCTTGAGTTTAAACTAGAATCTCTAATGTTCAAATAAACCAGTATTATGTCATGGAGACATCCTTCACTTTTAAGAATGTATATAAGCTTCAGGTAGTTGTGAAGTCCACTTTTCCATTGTAAACAGTAGTTTTATATATGCTGAACAACCAGAGCTCCACAAATTATTAATAGTGGCTACTTGCAATAGATAACATTAGGCAACAATAAAAGGAGTTTCAGGTTTTTGCTTAATTTTACACATGGCCATCTGTAGTTAGTCTAAAGCCATTTCTATAACTTTTGGATGCACCTCTGTATCACTGTTTTTAAACCCCAAGACAGATATAAATTAGAAAATAAACATTACCTGGACTGATTCAGAGGGAAGTAGTGTCTTTTTGTTGTCACTATTTCTCAAGGAGAAGTCAGAGTCAAACGAGTTCTATCTCCCATAGTCAGGCTGTAAAGGTATAAAAAGTAATGTTATTATTTCTGTGGCTTATATTTTATTTGAGAGGAATAGAGGACATATTGTTTTTATTTCTCATGTAGCTTAAAGCTGGGGATGGTTGTGGGGGTTGGAGATGGGTAGAACATAGCATGATGACTTCTTTTTAGGAATAATCTGAAGATCATGAGATTTCTGAATTACTCAGAGAAGAGAAACTACTGCTTATCTCCTATCCCCATGTCTCATAGGCAAATCCACTTTAAAGAAAGATATTGTGGTTCCTCTAACATGTCAGTGTGCAGGAGATGAGTTCCATTATCCCACACAGAGCTCCTCTAAACCTCTAAATTCCAGTTAATAGTAATAAAGATTATTTATTTATTCCATTACTTTGGAGCAAATAAGACAATAGAGTGTGGGGGAAAAAGGAGGAGGGGTGCTCAGTGTCACTGCGGGGCTTGTATATTTAGGTAAAGCAGGATAGGAGGTTTGCTAATCAAAATATGCTTCAGAATTACTTTGAGAGAAGTTGCCAAATCCCTTCCATGTTGGTAAACAATCTCATGCTAAATAGCAACTGTCTCCCTGCTAAGTTAACACGACCTGATCGTCCAAAAGTGGTTACCAAAGACTAGGTGTTCTTTCTATCTTACCATGAAACCAGAATCTACTAGGAGGTTTTTTTACATCTTGTTATCATAATACTGGATTCATCATCATTTTACTAGACATCTTTCTCTTCCCTCCCCACTGTTTTCACAAACAGTTCCAAAAGAGGAACAAACAAATCATTTGAAGAGAGCTAATTATGGATCTGTAAAAAGACTTTAAAAGCTAAACAAACAAGGCCATTCTTGGAGACACATGGAACCAAAAAGATAGATTACTTGAAATGTTGTATTTCCATATTTTAAAGTGAAGCTATGCTCAATACTATTAATAACAACTTAAATAGGAACACAACAAGAGCATTTACGGTCCAATTATATGATTAATAAAATATAAATTCCTTGATATCATAAAATGCTATTTTTTCAAATAGATGTATGTATTTTCCTGATAAATAACCATGCCTTCTAAAAAATTTCTTTTCTGAAACATGGTTTTAACAGTGACTGTTGACAGAAAATATGTTTAAAAATTCTAAAGATACAGGTTATTATATGAGTTACACTAAAGAAAAGACTAAACATATTACAAGATAAGAGACTCATAATGGGAGAATTAGGTGGTCAAAATGTAAATCTAAAAATTTCTTTTTTTCTCCTTCATGTAGGCAAATAGAATATGGTTAAATATGAAACTGTCTTAATTTTTCTTGTTTTTCTAGCCTCAGCTCAACTGAGGAATGTGGCTTTGCTCTCAACTGGCAACACAGAAAAAGTGAACTTTTCAGACTTGTCAGGAAGTACATCTTGAACTCACCACTACCCCACACAGATTAAAAACTGCATTCATAGAAATGCTATTTGTCAGATGCATAGTTTGCAAATAGTTTCTCTCATTCTGTGGGTTCTCTTGTTTACTCTGTTGATAAATTCTTTTGCTGTGCAGAAGCTTTTAAGAGCTTCTGCACAGCAAAAGAATTAACATTTTGTGGGGGGGGGATCTAATTAGGCTTAGATCAATTATTGCTTTTGTTGCAATTGCTTTAGATGTCTTTATCATAATTGTCCAGGATGGTATTGCCTAAGCTGTCTTCCAGGGTTTTTGTAGTTTTAGGTTTTGCATTTAAGTTTTTAATCCATCTTAAGTTTATTTCTGTATATGGTTTAAGGAAGGGATCTAGTTTCAATTTTCTGCATATGGCTAATCAGTTATCCCAGCACCATTTATTGAACAGGGACCCCTTTCCTCATTACTTGTTTATTCAACATCTATAAGGAAGTTAAACAAATTTATAAGAAAAAACGAACCACCCCATTAAAAAGTGGGCAAAAGAATGAACAGACACGTTTCTAAAAAAGACACATGTGGCCAACAAGCATATGAAGAAAAGCTTAATATCACTCATCTTTAGAGAAATGCAAATCAAAAACACAATGAGATACCATCCCACACCAGTCAGAATGGCTATTATTCAAAAATTCAAAAAATAACAGGTGCTAGAGAAGTTGTTAAAAAAAAAAAAGAGAGAAAGAGAGAAGGAGAACTTATATACTATTTGTGGGAGTATAAATTAGTTCAATGACCGTGGAAAGCAATGTGGCAATTCCTCAAAGAGCTAAAAACAGAACCACCATTATACCCAGCAATCCCATTACTAGGTATATCCCCAGAGGAATGTAAATTAACCCACCATAAAGATACATGTATACGAATATTTATTGCAGCAGCATTCACAATAGCAAAGACATGGAATCAACCTAAATGCCCATCAATGACAGATTGCATAAACAAAATGTGGTACATACACACCATGAAATACTATGCAGCCATGGAAAAGAATGAGATCATTTCCTTTTCAGGGACATGGATGGAGCTGGAGGCCATTATTCTTAGCAAACTAATGAACAAACTGAAAAACAAACACTACATATTCTCACTTATAAGTGGGAGCTAAATGATGAGAACTCATGAACACAAAGAAAGGAACAACAGATACTGGGGCCAATTTGAAAATGGAGGGTAGAAATAGGGGGATGAGCCAAAAAATTGACAAATGGGCAATAGGCTTAATACCTGGGTGATGAAATAATCTGTACATCAAACCCTCATGGCATGAGTTTACCTACGTAACAAACCTGCACATGTACCTCCGAATCTAAAAATAAAAAATTTTAATAAAAAGAAGTGCTATTTGTATACAGCTGTCTACATTGTATGCAGTCCCAGCTCTTGTGACATCTACCTGAGGATTAGGTTAGACTATCAGACATAAGCTAAGTCTTCTCCTTCTCATCACTCGCAGGATTTTTTATCACACACATAACTAATTTGTCAATGTCAGTTTCAGTAAAAAATTGTAAGTTTGATGAGGGTAGGAGGCTATGGCTCTTGCTCATTATTTGCTTGTTCAATTTCCTGCCTGTTGCAGAATACAGAGGACATACTAAATAGATGACTACTGAATTAATAAATTTTGCACTTGCTTTCACTGACTCTTGCTTTCTCAAGATGTTGCATAGCATACAACTAGTTTTTATTATACTCACATGGTGTGTTTATCATAGACTATAGTTAAGAAACTTATTTCCTGGGATTACAGTGTTCTATCACGATGCAGGAGATAAATTTCCTATAAGCCTGAATACCCTGAAATAGTTGCATGTCTGAGAAATCTATTTATTCTCTTAATGTTGACTCTGTGTATCTTGGAATTGTTTCCATCTTTGTATTGGCTGCTAGAGAGCTGAAACCTAAATACGCAGCCCAAATCTCACAAGCACATAGGAGTTCACAATAGGCATTTTGTTCCATAGTAACACTCTATTCTCTACCCTTTCTTCCTTCTCTGGCTCTCCCTTGGCTTTCATTTCCCTCACTTAGTTTTAAATTTATTTTATGTATCTTTGTAAGTCACCTTAATTTCTTTTTGAAACAAGGTGGGACATAAATAAATTGATTTTTTTCCCTTCATGATAGAAGTTATTAACTTTGCTGAAGAGGAGAATGGGCCAAGGAAGACAAAATATAGACTTCAGCAATGTATGGCTGATTTTAAGACACCTTGGGGATACCTTGTGAAGAGGAGATACTATTTCTAACCCACAGTGTATAGTTTTAGTTTTATGTAGAGTACAAGGCAATTGTACAATGTCAACCCTTTTTATTATGTTATATCCATTATGTTAATGCTACAAAATATCTGAAAATAAAAAAAAAAAGAATGTAACTGGACCCAAAGAAGCTTCACTTTTACTTATGGTCAGAACATTAGGAATAAAGAGAATTGATGAAACTGTAAAAATGTATGAAAGCCATTGGTACCAAGCAGACAGAATAACCTCTTACTCTTGAATTATGTTTTGAGATACAGCACCCTCCTCTCTATCCTCCTCTCATTCTCAGAGAAAATTATCAATTTTTCATGAGAGGTAGAGTGTCAAGAGACAGAAAAATAGACCAATGCTAGATAAGAGCAAATAATCATAATTTTTAAAACACTAAATACTTCAGTTGAACACTTTATGCAGAAATGCATTTGCATTTTATCATAATCTCACAAAATTATGATAATTATCAATCTGAATATAAAATATTTCTGTTTGTTATTACTAACCCTACAACTACATATCAAGTACATTTAACTGAAAGGAAGAAACAATAACAAAGGAAAGCACGCACATGTGTGCACACACACACACTCTCTCTCTCCCTCTCTGTCATCTGCCCCAAATAACAAAAGCATCTCTGCCACAAGAATTGTGCCCATCACTGCTCCAGGTTCAGATAGAGAACCGCCGCCAGTCTATTTTAGCACACCCATTTACATTCTGTACATCTTTATAAATGTAGTTATCATTACCATTGTTGCCTTATCACTCTCTATGATTGCTCCCTTTCATTCAAGTACAAAGGCAGCCTGACTATAAATGTTTTGTCATAAAACTGCTATTCAAACAATAAAAAAGGGTTATAATAGTACTAAAAATAATTTACCCCCAAGGCTGCTGCATAGACTGGCAGTGTGCAGATTGAGGGGCACAAAACACCTCCAGCCACATTCTCACTACCCTCAAGACTCTTCTGCATCTGTACCTATATCTGCATGGTTTCAAAAACATTTCAGACATTATCACATGGCTAGAATAGCTAGGACCTTTTCAGTATATGATTTTTAGACATGCAAATTATTTTTAGCAAAATTATCATTATTGTACTTAGGAAATAAGAGATAAATTAGAGAGTTTGTATCTTTCAAAGAGAAAGTCACTTTTAAATTCTTCAGTTTGGGAGTAGCTGGGTAAAAATGTAGTGTGTGTATACATATAATAAAATATACATATATTTCATACAACATACCACACATCTACATCACAGATACATGTAGATATATACAAATATAA